CTAAACTATGTTAATGTTGGAAGTATGCATGCTCATGCCAGCACAATCTTGCCTGCCTTTATGAGCTGAAGCAAGGGTTTATTTCAGGTGCATTGCCACAGATAAGATCCATCAGCAGGAGAAATGCATATGTCTGCATGTGTTTCCTTTGTTTTGTGTTTTACTGTTGACTGTTTCCTTGCAATTGATTTATTTTGTTGTATTTTTGAGGGTCTGGAAATGGTTAGGGATTCTTTTGGGTTTGTTTTTAACTAGTAATGAGACAATTAATACATTACTAGCAAATTGCCCATCATAAATCATGGGGAGTAGGGAAGGGGGGGGGCTGGGATGGAGCACCACCACCCAGTATCCCACAGGGGCACTGCCACCAGAAACGCCCCCCCTTCCTCTTCCACTTCCCCTTCCCCTTCCCGCTCCTCTCCCTCCCTGCCTCTTCCCTGCCATTTCCCCCTCCCTGCCAGCTGTTTTTTTTGGGAGGGGGGCAGCACAGTTCAGCAGCTCCCTTTCCTCCCCCCCACCCATAATGCCCCAGGCCCTCACCGCCAATCGACACACACCCACTCAGTGGTGCATTTACAGTTGGCCCAGAGCATTATGGACAGACAGACAGACAAAGGCTTTTATTCTATTAGAATACTTCAATCTGTTTAGATAAAATACATCCTGTCGTTCAGAGAGAGTTCTCATAACCCGCAAATGGGAGCTTGAATAAAAATCTGTGAAATAAACTGTTCATTCATGATTGCCAGGTCAAAAGCAACTAGCAAAATATTTTAAACAACCAACAAATTCAAGAAATTTATGAAGAACCCAGGTATAAATGAAGAAAAGCAAAATTCAAGAGATGGTTAATTCCTTTGAGATCTAGAGTCATATCAGCAAATAAATATAGCTATAAAATGAGCATGCTGATATGATTCGAGAACTTATATGGACACACTGCCTATTCATTTACCAGGAAGAATAGTTCCTCTTAGAAAAATTCTATGAATAGAGGGGTTTTTTAAGGAAGTGTCCTTATAAGTAGGAATCTGCCTAAATTGGGGTGAGGCAAAGGGTTTTTCATGGCATGCAGAGCCACTTACGCAGGCGTTTAGCAGAGCCCACGCTCCTCACCACTGATTGGCTGAGAGGCCCTGTCCCTTTTCACTGATTGGCAGAGATCTGTGCTATCTGCAGCCCCGCCCCTCACCACTGATTGGTGGAGAGACCCCGGCAGGAGAGGAGGAACAACAGGAGGCAGCTGCCATCTTGGCTGCTCCCCTTCCTGCCACTCCACCAGCCAGTGCCTTCCCCCTCCCCATCTCCCTCCTGCAGCAGGCTGTGTGGACCATTGGCTCCCACTTGGGAGCCAGCATTTTATTTTTAGTCAATTTTATTTTTTTCAGGCAATCTCGGCAAGCACTATTTAGGCGGTGATTGCGGAAACTACCGTTTTTTGCAAGTTCCGTGAAAATCAGGAAAATGCAATTTAAATAGGTCCCTGCTTGTAAGTTCCATATAAGACGAACATCCTGGCTAGAAAGGGGCTTGTACAAGATTTGTGCAAGATTCTCATTGCTTACATGGCCCTTTTCTGGATGTCGTTTTCTGTCCCTGAAGTGCCCTTCCAAATTCCACATGGATAGAAAAATGCAGTAGGTTCCCCTTTAAATGAAAACTGTGTCACTGGTTGGTCCTTAGGAAAAATTAGGTTCAGTGAACTCGCCAATCCAGAGCCTGCGCTATCACAGGGTCCTGATTGACTGTTTTAAGTCAGTTTGTGATTGGATGCCTTCCTTTTGCATTAAGTCCCTGTGACCATGAAGCTGGAGGGAGGGTGGTAGGAGACTCTCCTGTCCCACATTGGGTCTCTCCCAGTATAAACTGAGCTCCGCCCCTTGATGGCACTGCCAGGTGAGTCATTGGCACTAGTCAGCCATGCAGGGACCTGGGATAGTAGGTTAGCAGCCAGTTCTATAGCACAGACCCTCCACATCAGTGCAACACCAGCCAGTACCGTCTTATTTCTCTAAGCTGTGGCCTATGGGCTCGGTTCATAAGATTTATCTCTGCCTCTGGCTGTCCGTTCTGCTTGTCATGCAATAGATCTGTGCCACATTTTCACATGGGCTTTCTACCAAATCTTTGCATCAACTAATTGACCACCCAAGTTTTCATCTGGTGCAGACCCAAATCCACAGCCTGCCCTATTACTTTCTTCCTTTGTTTCATGCCACTAGCAACAGGGCAGGGTCATTGGACTTAATCACAGTAATTACTTTTCCCCAAAAGCATGCATTGTGGCTGATGCTTTTGCTTTAAGTAACAGCAACTGTGAGGGTCACTTACTCACTGAGATGTGCTCAAGCCAGAAAGTTTGGATCTAGATCTAAAGATTCCCAAGAGTTCATAAAGTTCAGCCTCAGAGGGAGTCGGTTTGGGCTGATCTCAACTGACTAACAGTTCCTGAGACTCAGGGCCTTATCCAAAGTCCGCTGACATCAGTGGAAGACTTTTTAGTGACTTCAGTAGGCTTTGAATCAGGACGTACGTGTCCAGGGCACACGACTTTACTTTGTACTTTGTTTATTATATTGGTGGCTGTTGGTGGAAAAATTTCAAAACCAGCGGCATTGTAAAACTAAACTTGTACAATGCCACCCTGCGGTGAGATGCACAATACCTAGCACTTTGTTCCAATTTAGCGCATAGTAGTTCAAGCTATGTACAAAGTAAGGTAGACATAAATGGAGGAACCTCACTTCAGAACAGGGTTGTAATTCTTTTTGTTATTGTTTGTTTGCTTTTTCTTTTGCTTCAAGTTCAGGATTATAAAATGCTTATATATCTTTTTCATCTGAGATAGATCTGTCCTTGACTACCTAAGTGGGGAGCCATTTCAAGAATATCTAGACAGCATGTACTTTGATAGGTTTCTCCAGTGGAAGTGGCTGGAAAGGTAAGAATTGCTGGTTTGTTTTTTGTTTTTCCCACTATTTTCATTTGCCTTGCAAAACATGCAAATTCTAGGTCCCAATGAGCCCTTAAGTGCATAACATGTTGTTCCCATGGTTTTAATCAAAAACAGAAGAGGGGACTTTCTTAAGGTTCACAGTCTTACAATGTAAAGTTAAACAGGTGAGGAGTGGGTGCCAGGGAAATGACATGAATCATGGTAGAATTTGCTGAATCATGCCAACACTGTCTGGATCTCTCGTTCCAATCACACAAGTTTTTCCCCACTTCCCTCTTTCTCTCCAAGCAACAGCTCTTGCCTTTATGTGGCCCTCCATTCCCTCTGTTCCCTTTTACAAAGATCTGTAGCATCCTACTTCCTGCTCCCATAGGCTGGACTTCGAGATCCCCACTCCAGTCATAAAGACTTTCCTCAGTCTGAGTGTTTGACCATAGGTGCCCATTGTTTGGAGGGCCAAGAAGCAGATTGAGACTTTGTCCTGCAGAATGAACCTGGAAAAAAAATGACACTTGCCTTCACACTAGATTCCAGCAGGCAAATAGTTGAGTCCCTAGCCTCAAAGCAATCAGTGCATGTGCTCAAAAATAATCTCCTCCCTTCCTTCCACTCTCCTCAGCCACAGAGAACACCTTGTTCAGTTGCTTTATAGACCATGGCTTGTGCACCATGGACCCATGGAAAGAAATGGACTTTAAATTAATGGGAACTAGAAATCCAGATCCCCCAAGGGGGTTGGAAAATCCTTGTGCATATTTTTATTGTATTCCCTGTCACAACATTTTTTCTATGTTGCAGAGACTGCTCTGTCCCAGTGAAATCATACAGGGAGCGAAAGGACAGCCGTCTTTTTAATACAAACTAAAACCTTAACTGAATACTCTTCCAGCATAGCAGCTGGCAGTAACTGGAGACAAACCTAACATAGAAGAGCCAGACCTACTGGCAAAGATGCGCGCACACACAGCTGCACATACACATACACACCACTCAGTACATACCACCTTTTCCTTTTAGATAATATAGTCACTTAAGTCTGGTCTTAGATGACCCAATTCAGGGGTTGGAGTCACCCCACTGGAAGTACAAGCAGGCTGTTTCAGCTCTTCTTGAGTTGCTTCTGAAGCTGGGGGATTTAATGGGTCTACAACAGCAGCTGATGGACTCGAAAGAACTGGTCCTGCTGGCACTATGAGGCCTTTGGATCTGCAGGTAGTATATCATCTGAAATGCAGCTTCACATCTAGTCAGCATGTCTGGAAAGTGTCTTGTTATCTGGAGTCTTGGCTTTGTATGACACTGGTCCTGTAGTTTCATGGACACCTTGTTGTACAAGATAGTTAATCTTTGCATCAGTTTGGATGGAGGGTGAATGCAACACAGTAAGGCTTCTTTCAAATCGGTGCCACAGCCAGATCCAACATAAATGAAACAGGTGGGCCTTTGTACACACCTAGCCCTGCTTCAAAAACTTTGCTGAATTCCTTTAGAACATCTTGAATGGTGTCTGTCACATTGCTGTGTGCTCTTGTTAGCTTGATGCCCAATGACTGAAACCATTCTTCACTTAGCAAGTTTGCTCACTGTCTTTTGGCACTTACAAGGTGGAGCACCCCTTGACCCGTCCTGTAGCAGACATTGATACAGCGTTCTCCTTCTCAGTCAACTGTTTATTGTAGTTGACAAGTCTTGCTTTGCACAGAATAATAGCAGACGTTGTTAAGGCCATCGCAATTTGTATGTCTCTTCTGAAAGAGAAGCAAACTCAGATCCTGCATCTACCTCCATGACATGGAAAACCTTGGAGCATCATTGTTGTGTAGCTCTTCTTTTGTAGGAACAGTGTTTCCCCGTTCTTGACAAACCCAAATGCTTAGACATCAGTGAGCATTCCACCGGCTGAAACGCTGTTCAGATCACCACCAGTATTGGTGGCAGCTGAAGGTGTACCCTTCTTTGACTTCCAACGACTAACATGTTCCGTGTGACCCTTGCTCTTGCAATGATGGCATTTGGACTCGTGGAAACAGCATGCATCACGTGTGGCTCCCACCACAAGTATAACAGCCTCCTAGGGACGATGAATTTTTTTGGTCAGTGACGGTGAGATTTCTTTGGAGAATCCCCTTTGGGTTGCATTTGATGAGTCTCAGTCGCATGTTCGTGGATGGTGCTTGGATCCCCTTTAAATGGAGAAATCCAGGCTTGTGAGCAAGTGCTTCCTCTTGAGAACTGGCAAACGTTGAGTTTTGCTTTGCAAGGAATCTGTGTTCTAGTGTTTCATCTGAAACCCCAAACAGAAGTTCATCCCTCTGTAGAGACTCAGCTTGTACCAAAATTACAGTTTTTGGACAGACAACACAGGTCAGCTTGTATGCTGCAGTCCCTTTGCCCGGCAGCTGATTACACTGGTTGAAGTGGAATTCATTCAGTGGGGTTGAGGCAAAGCGGTTTTTTAGTAGTGGGGATTTTGGCTAGGGACACAAGTGAGCAAATGATATCAAAAGCCTGTGAGCCAAAAACGGTCAGTAGCGCTGCACATTTCTGGTTAGCCTCAGTCATCTGATTGGCTTCTATGTTGAATAAGAAGATGAGCCAATTGGCACAGGAGTCCCACCTTAATGGTCTGGCCACATCAAATTCCTCAATGTGGCTTAAGGCTGTCATGTTGGAGAAGATCTGCGCAGAAGGCAAAAGAGGTGGTACAGTCACACACCTGGCAATCTTCAAAAAGTGTCTCGATGCTCATCTTTCTGGGATCATCTGACCCCAGTGGTCTTTCCTGCCCAAGTGGAGGGAGGCTGGACCCAATGATCTGTAAGGCCCCTTCTAGCCCCTAGCAACTATGAAACATGCCATGGGAAGGAACCCCTGGTCTGGACTTCTTGGGATGTGTGAGGCCCCTTCTGTCTTGTCGCAGGTGGCACTTCCAGTTTAGAATGAGCCTGTAGCAACTTTCCTGTTCAGTGGGATCCCATCCTCATCACCAGATTTCACTTATTCCAGGGCTTCCCTATCCCGGTGAGATCAGACACAGGGCAACTATCTTTATTGTATGAACAAAAGGCTTAACTAAATGTATTTGCAATGCTAAATTGAAGGCATGCTTCAAGTCTCCTATTTTGACATTTGCAAACAGTGTTCGTAAGTGAGACTGAACCAGCATGGGCTAGATGCTACTTACTAGGAAAGTAGATTCCCATTTTATTATTTACCCCAAGATGCTGGATGCTAGCTTGCCATAGCAATTAATTACTAGTATAATGCTCTGCATTTTGAACTTTCTTCCTGCTTGGGTCACTCTTAACTGCTGATAATCAAGTCAGGTCTAAGAGGCCTTCTTTTTGAAGGATCATTTATTAACTGAAAACATGGGGAAATGTAGCATGTGTCCTAGCACCAGGTTTATTGCATATGCACTTCCGGGCATACTCCATTTTCAGGAATCCTTTAAAGGCTTTCACCGGCACTCTCCTTGTTGGTGTGTGCCACCGCAATTTGGAGCTGTTTCCACACTTCACAACTGAATTACAAAAGAAGATTAAGGGCCAGATTCCCAACTATTGTGAACCAGCATAACCTTATTGAAGTCCGTAGAGTCTGCCACTTTTATCCAGCTGAAAAGCTAGCTCTTCAGACTGAAAACAATCAACTCCAGGTGCCTGATTGTCAGCAATTTTGTGTCAGTGCAGGCCATATCCCACATGAAATCTATACACGGTCCATCCACCATGTCCTGTTTTGTTTCACTCTGTTTGCTGTAGCCTACTTGCATTGAAGAGAATCAGATGTTTCCTAGCGTTTTTGCTTATTTCCCATTTATTTGCGCATCGAAACTTGAGAATTTTCTCCAGTGCAATGGAGATTTTTTTTTTTATTAATCCTAAAAATAAACTTGGCAAGCCATCAGATGAGCCTACTCAATTTAGAAAACTAAAGGGCTGTTTCCAGGATTAGCAAAAAAATAACTTTACTATCATGGACTAATTAACAGCTCTTTCTGACAGCTAGTTGGCTGCAGCAGAACAGTCAAACAGTCAAATTATTTCAGGGGCACTCAAGTCTATATCTATCGCTGTTAATTGTTGCTTTTAATCCTACCACTGTTCATAAGGTCGTCTTAGAAGCTAGAAGCTCCTCCAGCTTCATCCTTTTGCATTTGATTGATCTGGTTTCTTGTCCCACACTGCTTTAATGGAGCACACATGAACATGGTTCACTTTAATATTTATTTCTTTTATTGTCATCAACCTTCTCATCCATGTCGTTCGCATAGCTGTGTTACTGCACTCCCTCTTCTGGCACGCTGGCTTCCCTGCAGTAACGTCATCCTGAGTGTCAGTCTCTAGAAGCTCCTAATGTAATTGCATTTAGTATAAGAGTAGTAATTAAAAGAAAGAAAGTTTTACCATGAGGAGAACACTCTCCATTGGATTATACAAATGTATGGGTAGTAAAGATTGTACATGTTCAGTTTAGGGTTGGAGTCCTGGTGCTGCACCTGACTCTTATATGCAACATCTGTAACATCAAATAGTGGTAATGGGCTCAGTAGAAATTATTCTAAAATAGTGTTAACAACTAGCCTGAACCAGTCTAGAGGCCTTCTTGACAATTATATGAGGCTTGATTGTGTCAAGGAAAAAGGAGAATGGCTGCTCGGCTCATTCTTCCTTCCCTATCCCTTCCTTCTTTTGATCAGCAAACCCTCCCGCTTGGGGATCGAGAGGAAGTTCTCAGAAAGTTTGGCACAAAGGAGGCACACTCCCTCCCCAGATGTCCTGCCGGTACAGTGAAAACACATGCCCGAAGAGGCAGGGCATTCTGAAGCACAGCAGAGGGGTGGGGGGAATTGTCCTTTGCAGAAAGTTTCTTAATGCTTAAAGCTTTAGTAATTTTAGCAAAAATTGTAGCATTTTTTTTTTCAGTGGTTAGTTCGTTCAGCAAAACAATCTGTTCTAGTTCAGCCCAAAGTTCCAGTAATGACTGAATAGCTTTGGCTGAAGATTGTATAGTTAGATTCAGAAAATGATATAAGAATTTCTGCCCCACTTCCCCGTTTCAACCAATATCCCAGTAACTGGGGCACTTGCCCAGGGTGCGTATGACCTACGTTCAATTTCCTCCTCTCCTAGAGGGTTTTGAACCCACCTATCTCACCTCCCTTAACCACCTGACTCTAGAGTAATCTGGGGACCACTTCCCAAAATATCTTCTGTTGGAGCTGTTCCCATATGTGGAAAGGCTAAATAACCTAAATATTCAGTCTCATCAGGATGGAGCCTAGGGATCCCACGTCCCAGGTGAGTGCCCTAACCAACAGGCTTTGCAGTCATTTTCAGACTGGCTATGGCTTAGTGAATATTAAAGTATTCCATGCAGAATGAAACCTCTTCAGCAGCTGAAGTTACAAGTTACTTACTGTGAGATAACCTAAAGCCCAGTGAGCTGGGAAATGCAAGTTCAAGTGCCCAGATTTGACCCTGGGTCTCCCATTTGCAGCAGGTGTGCCCTGATCGCAGGCATGCTAGGTAAAGACATCATCCCCTCTTGCACCTGGCCAGTTCCATGAAAGGTGCCAAACTTCTAGCCCTTTGTTTCCCTTGCTTAGCTGTTTCCAGCTTTTTCTTGGATTCAGACCAAAATGTTTTGTTTAAGGTCAAGAAAAAATGAAAAAAATATGTTAGGATCTAACTGATTTTTTTTCAATCTTGTTTCAGAGGCCAAACTAAAAATATCCATATATTCACACAGCATTACCTTTAATAGATGTATGTCTCATCATCAGATGATTCAGTACATGAATGTGTCTTTTCAAACTCCTTTAACTCCTCTTATCTTTAAAAAAAAAAAAAAAAAAAAAAAAAAAGGGGGGGGGGAAAAAAACCCCTTCAACCCCTTTTTTTTAAAAAAAAAAAAAAAAAAAAAAAAAAAACCCACAGAGGGTATCATAAAGACTCGGGAACCCCTTTAGCCTTAAGACTGTATCCAAAATTATACTGCACAGTGATGACTCACTAATGTGTTGTATTTTATTACAGCTTAATATGCTGAGATTGAAAAGTTCAAGCCATATATAGTATTGGAATAATGTGATTACCTAATTAGATATTATATTATATAATGTGATTATCCCCAAATAATGTAATTATGTGATATTTATCTATTTTGTCCTTTCAGAAGTTTGAGCTGAGACAAATACATCTTAGAAAGTGCATTAAGAGTAGAGTATCTTATTTTATTCCTTTCTTATTTCTTTCTTTCAGGCAGCCAGTAACGAAAAACACATTTAGACAGTACAGAGTACTAGGAAAAGGTGGTTTTGGGGAGGTGAGTAATTCTGAAAGCTTCTGTTGTGAATGTTTTTCACCTGGTAGGACTTCAGGTTAAAAGAAAGGGTGGGGAGTTGTTTTTCTAGTGGTTTCTTTCTTTCTTTTCTTGATGAGAAGCAGACTTTAACCACTTAATTGCTAAGAGCTTCTGTTAACGTTTCATGAGAATTATTACCCTTAATGGTCACTTCCAGGAAATACTTTTGCGTTGGCAGTTACATTTGTGTCTGAATTAAGCTTCCTTTATTATCTGCATTTCAATAACACCAGAGGCCTCCATTTAGGTTGGGGTGCAATAGCATGTCTGCCCTGCAGCATTCGTAAGCTGAACCAAAGGCAGCATAGGAAACAGGCACAGAAAATTGAAGTCCTCATACCAAAATTATGCAACCGTTCTGGAGATGGAGCCCCACGTTTCAGCTTTCTAGCCCTGTCTCCCACATACACAGCTTCACGTGCCATTAAAAAGAACTTTAAAAAGCCAAAGAGACACCCTAAAAACAAGCAGGACCATGAGGTATTAAGTTTTGTGGACACGGAGTCTTTCCTTTCAGTTACCCAAGTAATTGTTTTCCCCTTTCCTTCCTGTTTAGGTGTGCGCTTGCCAAGTCCGGGCAACAGGGAAAATGTATGCCTGCAAGAGATTAGAGAAGAAGAGAATAAAGAAGAGGAAAGGCGAATCCATGGCACTAAATGAAAAGCAGATTTTAGAAAAAGTCAATAGTCAGTTTGTAGTAAGTATTGCACTTGTCCTGGTCCCTGCTCGGAGGAAACTCTCCGAGCACAGATTTTATTGACATTTTTGCCTCTACTTTATAGTATATAAAGTAGTAGAAGAAACTAGGTCACTGTTCAGTCCCTCAGCAGGCAGTTTGCCTGATTTCCCCTTTGTGCTCATGTGACTGCGCTGCGCCTGTTCTGCGATAGTAGTAAAAATAAAAATAACAATCATAAAAAATTCAGTCGGCCTTTTAGCATGATTTACTGCAGCTGATGTGACATTTGGATATTATGTTCAGCTGTCAACAAGGGAGCAAAACTTGGCTGACCAGTGGGATAGTAAGTGCAGTTGGAGAAGTGAATCCATTGATTTTAAAATTACTCTTAATTGGAAAGGTATGCTTAGAAAAGATGTGATTTATCTGACATATAAAAGCGCTAGGCAGTTGAGCACTAAATTTGTCGTCTTCTCATAAGCATAGCTGGAGTCAATAAATTACTCCATAATATTCTAATTTCCAGTGTTTAATTGATTCTGTAAAAATAACCATCGTGCTGTAATAAGGCTTTTATTGTCTGTTCCCTTGGCTTTTGCTGCTGTACACTGATCCATCAAATTATTTTCATTTTAATATCAAAGTTAGCGATGGATTCATTGCATCTTATGACCAAACTGCTGGAACTTTATTACAAATTTTCTTTTAGGTCAATTTAGCCTATGCCTATGAAACAAAAGATGCACTGTGTTTAGTTCTGACCATAATGAACGGGGGTGACTTGAAGTTCCACATCTACAACATGGGAAACCCAGGCTTTGAAGAGGAAAGAGCTCTGTTTTATGCGGCGGAGATTCTCTGTGGCTTGGAAGATCTACACAGAGAAAATACTGTGTACAGGTAAGGGTCCCCCAGGGTCTTAGAGTATTTTTTCCAAGTAGAAAAAAAAATTGTGGGCATCCTTCCCAACGGCTCATTTTAGTGCAGTGCAGTCTGTGTTTCATATTGCTCAGAGCCTTGAATTAATACAATAAGACTCAATAATAATAGAAGGAAGCAACAGCATTAGTGACTGCATCCTGTCTAAACCATATAGAACTAACAGAAGCTCCCTAAATCCTGTCTCAGCTTCCACCGGCCGTGTATAAAATCTAGACAGTCTTCATAAGATATTTCTTTAGGAGCCATTTCCTGGTTAGTAATATGCAGAGATCTTTCTAAAGTATTATATGTTTATTTTAATTAGCTAGATTAGATTGTGGCCATAATGTGCTAGACAGTTCACAGATAAAAGGGAGACAAAGTCCCTATCCCAAGGAGGGAACAAATTAGAGGACAAAGACAAGGGATGGGGGAACAGGATACAACATACATGCCAAGTGATCAGGGTGATTATAGGCCTGTGGGTTGTTAATTACATGGTTGCTGGTTGTTGATGTTGCATTTGAAGTTAAATATACAGGGCCTAATTCTCTTATGTGCTAGGGCGTAAATCAATAGTAGCTGTAGTAAAGTTGAAGGTATTATGGAACTACCCCTCTTCCTTCCAGCAAGGAAACCAAATACGCTTTTTCCTTCAAACAGAGACAGGTGTAAAATGGGCATGAGAGCAGAATCAGGGTGTAAATTACCTTTTCTTTACACTTTGTTTAAAGCAGAACAGGGAATCTGCACAATCGGCTGCAACAGGAAATGTTTTCAGCCCAGCAGCAAATTCCCTCCCCCGGCCAGTACTTCCCTCTTCTGTCACTAAAAATGATGCATTGGGAAAGCTGGTTTGTTTCTTATTCACGTCCTTTCTCCTAGTCCCCCCACCCATGCCTTGCTGCTGCTCAAGCAAAATGCTTTCACCAGCAAATGATCGGCTGAGGCTAAGCAAGCCTAAGAAGACAACACGCTACACGGCATAAGTTCTTCCAGTCAGTAAGGGATCCATCCCTGCTTTTCCCAGGAGAATGATTCTCAACTAAGGTGCTGCCATGGCATGCCATGAGACCTTTTTAAAGGTGTGGTGGGGTGCTACTTAATATTAGTAGTTAGGCATGCAAAAACCTATGCATGATTCACAAGATACATTGAGATTTCAAATGGGAAACCAGAGTGTTAAAAAATATTCTGATTTGTTGTGGTCTTTCTGAGTTCTTGGAACTGAAAAAAATATTCTGTTATTATTCTGGATTGAAAAAATTAGCGAAAATTAAGAGTTGGCATTTTCTGACGGGTACCCTGAGTCTAGCAAGGGCAGCTTGAAGATAAAAAAAAAAAAAAAAAAAAAAA